TCGAAGCGATGTCGAATGTAATGTAGTTAATTTGAGCGAGGTCGAATATGACTTTAGTTAATCCGAACGAGGTCGAATGTAAGTTAATTCGAACGAGGTAGAATATGATGTAGTTAATTCGAGCGAGGTCGAATTTAACTTTTGTTTAACAATGGTCGTGGGCCGTATAGGTGTTGATTCGAACGAGGTCTAATGTAACCCATGAATAATTCGATCTAGGTCGAATGTGAGTTAATCCGAATGAGGTCGAATTTGAGTTAATTCGAACGAGGTCGAATGTGAGTTAATTCGAACGAGGTCGAATGTGAGTTAATTCGAGCAAGGGCGAATGTCACTTTAGTTAATTCGAACAAGGTCGAATATGATGTAGTTAATTCGAGAGGTCGAATTTAACTTGTACTTAATTTGAAGCGAGGTCGAATGTAATGTAGTTAATTCGAGCAAGGTCGAATTTAACTTTTGTTTAACAATGGCCGTTGGGCCGTATGGGTGTTGATTCGAACGAGGTCGAATGTAATTTTTATTTTACAATGGTCGGGGGCCGTATAGGTGTAAGTTCAAACAAGGTCGAATGTAATTTTTGTTTAATTGATGCAGCGTTGCTTTGGTGAAAACATGAGTGAACTTCATGCACTTTTGCTTTGCTTATATATATTGGAGAAATTTACATATTTTCCAAGGAGGCATTCTGGTCCCAGTCTATATAGTCCCTTCATTGGTTAATTTGGAGAAGTATTGAGAGGTTGGGCAATGAACTGATCGACTTGTGTCCCTATCTGCTCGTACTTCAACTTGAAATGTCCTTCTTGTCACTTAATTAAAAAACTTCATGAGAAAATCCAATTGGGATAAAACTCAAGTGAGGGAAAAAGAGTACGACTCGGAGAATATTTTTCCTTAGAAGTTGAAGTACTTGAGGTGGGCGACGTTCCAGTTGTTTGGTAGTGGCTTTCCTTATATCGTTTCTAGTTGGAATGACCCTTTGTTTGCCGCTGCCGTGACTTTGTATGGGCCGTCGCAATTTGTTCCCAGTTTGCCTTCCCTCGGGTCTTTGCTTACTTGTGTTTTGGCTTTGAGCACGTAGTCCCCGACTTTGATTGGTCTGACCTTAGCCTTTTTGTTGTAATAGCGTTCTGCTTGTTGCTTTTGGGCGATCATCCTTATGTAGGCTATGTCTCTTCGTTCTTCAGCTTCGTCGAGCTCTTGCTTTCTGCTTTCGTCATTCATTGGACTGCTCTCATGGGAGTATCTCAAATTGGGTTCTCCGACTTCGACTAGTATTACCGCGTCAGTCTCATAGACTAACGAGTAGGGCATTTCTCCTGTGCTCGTTTTTGGCATTGTGCGGTAGGCCTAAAGTACTTCTGGTAATAGCTCCGGCCGTAGTCCCTTGGCGTCCTCAAGTTTTTTCTTCATGATGTTTAGTATTGATTTATCGGAGGATTTCGCTTGCACGTTGCCCGCGGGGTGGTACTTCGTGGAGAGTATTCTTTTGATATGCCACTTCTCGAAGGACTCGGCGACCTTTTTTCTTGTAAACTGGGGTCTGTTGTCACAAGTGATCTCTTTGGGATGGCCGAAGCGGCACACATTATTTTTTTCGTATGAAGGCGATCACTTCTTGTTCGCGTATCTGGGAGAACGCACCTGTGTCTACCCATTTAGAAAATAGTCAGTTGAATAAAAAAGGAATTGTACGTTACCTCGCCCCGCAGGAAGGGGGACGATGATGTCCATTCCCCACTTGATGAAAGGCCAGGGGGAAGTGACTGAGTGGAGATGCTCGCCCGCTTGATGGATCATTGTGGCGTATTTTTGGCATTGCTCGTACTTTTTCACGAAGTCATCGGCCTTTTTTTTCATGGTGGGCCAGTAGTTACCTGCTCGTATGAGACATCTGACCAGAGCTCGATTGTCGGAATGAACCCCGCAGTAGCCTTCATGGACTTATTCTAGAACGCATCGCGTTTGATTCGTGCCTATGCATTTTGCTAGGGGGAGTCATACGTCATCTTGTATAGGTCATTGTGGATGGTGTTGTACATGGCCGCTTGCATCCGAAGCTTCTTGGCTTTTTTTTTTAATCATCTGGGAGTACGCCCTCCTGCAAGTATGTAACAATACGGTTGCCCTAGTCCCAAGTTAGGTTTATGGTCCTTACCTCGATTTGATCGATCTATGAGTGGAGGAGGGTTGTCACGACCCGGATTTCCCACCCTCAGGAGTGCTCGGAACTTGATCAGTGCAAAAGTCAATATCCCTGTCGGGTGGCATACCCGGCAGATCTGAAGGAAATACCTCAGGAAACTCCCGAACAACGGGCACAGAATCAATATGAGAGACCTCTGCACTAGAATCGCGAACATAAGCTAAATAGGCCAAACACCCCTTCTCGACCATACGCCGAGCCTTCACATAAGAAATAACACTATGGGTAGAATGACCAGGAGTCCCTCTCCACTCTAAACGAGGCAAACCCGGCAAGGCTAAGGTCACAGTCTTGGCATGACAATCCAAGATAGCGTGGTAAGGTGATAACCAGTCCATCCCCAATATAACATCGAAATCAACAATGTCCAGAAGCAACAAATCTACATGAGACTCAAGACCCCCAATCACCACAATACAAGAACGATGGACTCGATCTACTATAATAGAATCACCAACCGGTGTAGACACATAAACAGGAGCACTCAAAGAATCACTAGGCATGACCAGATACGGTGCAAAGTAAGATGACACATACGAGTATGTAGACCCTGGATCAAATAACACTGAAGCATCTCTATCACAAACCAGAACAGTACCTGTGATAACTGCATCGGAAGCCTTAGCCTCCGGCCTGGCCGGGAGAGCATAACATCGGGGCTGGGCCCCACCACTCTGATCTACCTCTCTAGGACGGCCTGTAGCTGGTTGGCCTCCACCTCTAGCGGTCTGAGCTCCACCTCTAGCACCTCTACCTCTACCTCTAGCACCTCTACCCCCACCTCTAGCTGACTAGGCGGGTTGTGGAACACCTGGTGCCTGAACCATAGCACGGGAACCCTGATGCGGAGAACTGCTCGAAGCTCGAGGGAAATACCTAGCAATGTGCCTCGTGTCGCCACAAGTAAAACAAGCCCTCGGCTGCTAGGGCTGACAACCCTGGAAACTCTGAAGCGGTGGTGCACTGATAGGAGCTGATGGTGCACTGTAGGACTGCTGATCGGAATACTGCATCTGAGGACCACGGCCACCTGAAGCACCGTGAGAAACCTGGAGTGCTGACTGAAAAGGCCTAGGAGGGTGGCCTCTATCATACGAATCCCTGCCCCCAGACGAGGCACCACTAAATCTGCCTGACTGACGGGGTCTCTTGTCTGCCCTGTGACCACCCCCATGTGATAAAACCATCTCAACTCTCTGGGCCACATTGGCCGCCTCCTAGAAGGATATCTCACTCCCAGCCTCTCTAGCCATCTGAAGACGAATCGGCTGAATGAGTCCATCAATGAACCGTCTCACTCTCTCCCTCTCAGTGGGAAGTATGATAAGAGCATGGCGAGCTAGATCAATAAATCTGGTCTCGTACTGGGTGACAGTCATGGATAACTGCTGGAGGCGCTCGAACTGCATCCGATAGGCCTCTCGCTGTGTGATAGCGAGAAACTTCTCCAGAAATAGCTGTGTGAACTGCTCCCATGTCAAGGCTGGCGATCTTGCTGGTCTAGCTAAGCAATAATCCCTCCACCAAGTCTTGGCGGATCCAGACAAGCGAAATGTGGCAAAATCGACCCCGTTGGTCTCAACTATCCCCATGTTCCGAAGAACCTCGTAACAGCTGTCTAGATAATCCTGGGGATCCTTAGTAGATGCACCGCTGAAAGTAGTAGTGAAGTGCTTGGTGAACTTGTCCAATCTCCACAAAGCATAGGCAGACATAGTTGCACCATCGCCGGTCTGAGCTACCACACCCGGCTGAACTGCTCCAACTGGCTGAGCCGCTGGAGTCTGAAACTGGGGACCTACCTGCTCCGGAGTGCGAGTAGCAGGAATCTGGGCTCCTCCTCCAGCCTGAGAGACGGCTAGTGCTACAGGAAGTAAACCTGCCCTAGTGACGCTCTCCATAAGGCCCACTAGACGGACCAGAGCATCCTGAAGAACTAGGGTGGCAATAAACCCCTCTGGGACCTGACTCGGGCCCACCGGAACTGCTGGGGCCGGAACCTCGTCATCAAAGTCAACCTGAGGCTCCGCTACGGGTGCTGCTGCCCTGGGCTGAGCTTTTCCCCTGCCTCGGCCTCTAGCACGGCCTCGGCCTAGCCCTTTGCCCCTCGTGGGAGCTGCTGTTGGGGGCTCGGGCTGCTGATCGGTAGATGAGGAAGCGCGTGTTCTCGCCATCTGCGAAAGAACAGAGTAGAAATTCAATTAATATTGAGAAACCAAACCGCACGACAAGAAATAACAAATGTGAGGTTTTCCTAACTCGGTAGCCTTTGGGGGATAAATACAGACGTCTCCGTACCGATCCCTCAGACTCTACTAAGCTTGTCCGTGAATTGTGAGACCTATGTAACCTAGTGCTCTGATACCAACTTGTCACGACCCGGATTTTCCACCCTCGTGAGTCGTGATGGCGCCTACTCGTAGAAGCTAGGCAAGCCATGAAATTTAGAAATCTTTAACCTATTCATTTTTAACACTTTTAACTACTTGTAACAACAGGTGATCAACATTTAAATAATAGCGAAAGATGGATTTATGCGGAAGACTTAGATAAACATAATACAAAAAAAAAACGATACGAAAAGCCAACATATGTCTCTACCCAGAAACCGGTGTCACAACATTCACGGACTCTCTATGATTACTACATACAAATGTCTGAAAGAAAGAAACTCAGTCTGTCTCGGATACAAGTGATAACAGAACATAATAGTAGATAGAAGAGACGTCGGGCCTGCGAACGCCTGCAGGACTACCTCGGGATCTCTGTGGACTGAAGGCTGGCTCCCAAGCTATTGCTGCTGTCCCAGTACACCTCCGGTATCTGCACAGAGTGCAGAGTATAGCATCAGCACAACCGACCCCATGTGCTGGTGGCCTAACCCCGGCGACGTTGTGACGAGGCTAGGACCAGACTCCAGATAAACCTATGCAGTTATATATATATATATATATATATATATATATATATATATATATATATATATATATATATATATATATATATACAACGGAAAATAAACTAGAACAAACAATTTAAAGCTGGGAAGGAGAAACATGCTTCAGGAAATAACAGATAAAACAGAATCTCAAGAGAATTATCAAGAAACCAAAAATTCAACTTCTATCAAGGATAAGGAAAACAAAGGCAATTTACACTTTCGGTTCACATCTCGTTGCAGGCGTGCAACCCGATCCCATTTCTCATATATTGTGGTAGGCGTACCACCCGCTCCCATTTCATCATATCTCGTGGTAGGCGTACCACCCGATCCCATTTCATTATATCTCGTGGTAGGCGTACCACCCGATCCCATTTCATCATATCTCGTATCATATCTCGTAATAGGCGTACCACCCGATCCCATTTCATTATATCTCGTGGTAGGCGTACCACCCGATCCCATTTCATCATATCTCGTGGTAGGCGTACCACCCGATCCCATTTTATCATATCTCGTGGTAGGCGTACCACCCGATCCCATTTACAAGCCAACACAAAATCACAAGGAATCCCGGCAAGGGAACAAAAGCAATTTAATAACTTCCCGGCAAGGGAGCAACAATATCAAGACAAACATCCCGGCAAGGGAGAATCAGCTATAACCAATCCTAACTCAACTCCTACTCAGCTAAATTAGTATCAACACTCAATCATAAATAAAATCCACGAAAATAAACTAAATCTTTGCTCAATATCGAGAATCATCAATTAAAGCATCCGTAGTAACATTTAAGAACACAACATCTATCAATTCAAGATTCACGGTCATGCTCGACACCAACGTATAGATACTTGTCACCATGCCTATACGTCGTACTCAACAAGAAGCAATTAGCGAATAGGACTCAACTCCTAATCCCTCAAGCTAAGGTTAGACCGGACACTTACCTCAAACTTTCATGGCCAACTCAATCCTCAAATACCGCCTTTCCTTTCGAATTTGGCTCCAACACAATCGTATCTATACATAATCGACTTAATAACATCAATAAATGCTAAACAATCCAATCCCAATGCTCAATTATAGCTTTTTAATCATTCTTCCAAAAAACCAAAAAAATTGACCCCGGGCCCGCTTGGTCAAAACACGAGGTTCGGACCAAAACCCGATCACCCACGAGCCCAAATATATCATTTGTTTTGAAATCCGACCCCAAAACGAGGTCAAATTCCCAAATAATCAAAAAGCCCTAACTCTACCTAATTCCCCAATTTTCTACCATTAAAACCCTAAGATTATTGATAAAAGTTGATGAAAAACATTAGATAATTGAAAGAAATCAGTTAGCGAGTGCTTACTTGTGATATGGGAAGAAAATCTCTTGAGAAAATCGCCCTAGTTCTTCTATTTTTGTTTAAGTTTGAAAGAAAATCGTTGAAGTTATGTTTTTAAAAAGACTCACTGCCCGACTTCCGCATCTGCGGCTCAGGGGTCGCATCTGTGCAACCGCGTGTGCAGAAAAAATTTGTCGCTTCTACGAAAATGGCTAGGCCCCGCTGGGACCGCACCTGCGAGAAAGGACCCGCTCCTGCGGAACCGCATCTGCGGAAAATTGTCCGCACCTGCGAAGAATTCCGCACCTGCGAAGAATTCCGCACCTGCGATGTACTTCTCGCACCTGCGAGTCCGCATCTGAGGCCCAAGAACCGCAGGTGCGGTTACACCAGAAGAGCTGTTTCTGCAACTTTTCTTAAGTCCAAAACTTCCCGAAACACATCCGAAACACACCCGAGCCCTCGGGGCTCCTAACCAAACACACATACTAACTCAACAACATCATACAAACTTATCCGTGCGATCAAATCGCCAAAATAACCTCTCAAACAACGAATTAAACCTCAAAATCAAAGAATTTTTCTCAAACTTCAGAAAGCATCAAATTTTCCATTTTAAGTCCGAATCACGTCAAACGAATTCCATTATTTACCAAATTTTACAGAATCATCTTAAATAATATATAAGACCCGTACCGGGCACCGGAACCAAAATACGGGGCCGATACCATCATGTTCTAATCAAATTTCATTTCAAAATCCTTTAAACTATTTCAGAAAACAATTTTCTTTAAAAATTCATTTCTCGGGCTTGGGACCTCGGAATTTGATTCCGGGCATACGCCCAAGTCCCTTATTTTCCTACGGACCCTCTGGGATCGTCAAACCATGGGTTCGGGTCCGTTTACTAAAAATATTGACCGAAGTCAACTTAGATGCATTTTTTAGCCAAAATTTCAATATTTCACAGATTTTTCACATAACAGCTTTTCGGCTACACGCCCGGACTACGCACGCAAATCGAGGTAAAGATAAAAGAGGTTTTTAAGGCCTCGGAAACACAGAATTTAATTTAAAGGCAAGTGATGACCTTTTGGGTCATCACAAGGGTGACCACGTTTCTTTCCCCGATTATGCTTCTAATGGTTGATGCTAATTTGGCGAGGCCGTCCGCTTCGATATTTTGTGCTTGGAGGATTAGGTCGAGCTGGCATTCATCAAATTCGGGTAGCAGTTTGCAGATCTCAGCCTGGTATTTTTGTAACCGTTGGTCTTTTATCTGGAAAGTCCCTGTCACTTGGTTGACGACGAGTTGAGAGTCGTAGCGCAGGATGATCCATCTCCCCCCGTACTTAAGTGCTAGCCTTAATCCTGCAATCACGGCCTCATACTCGGCCTCATTGTTAGTCATATCCGGGCACCTTATGGACTGGAGAATCACTTCTCTTGTTGGGACTTCGAGCACAAGTCCCAGTCCGGACCCTGACGCATTAGAGGCATCGTCGGTGTACAAAATCCATAGATCCGGTACTTGTGAAGTGTGGGCAGCTTCTCTTTCGACTTCCAGCATTATTTTTGCGCTGAAGTCAGCGACGAAGTCGGCAAATACTTGCGACTTTACCACCGTTCATGGTTGATATGTGGTATCATGCTCGCTTAATTCTATGGCCCATTTGGCCAGCTTGCCCGATAGCTCGAGCTTATGCAAAATGCTTCTCAAGGGAAAGTTGTGACTACCGAGATGGGGTGGCACTAGAAGTAGGGTCTAAGCTTTCATGAAGCTACAACCAAGGCCAGGGCCAATTTTTTGAGGTGGGGTAACCTCGTCTCGGTGTCGACTAAAGTTTTGCTAATGTAATAGATGGGAGATTGCGTACCTTTATCTTCTCGGATCAGGACCTCACTCACCGCTACTTCGGATACAACGAGGTAGATAAGGAGGCATTCTCTGGGCTATGATATGGAAGGCAACAGCGGTGATGATAGGTAAGCCTTTAACTCCTTCAGGGATTCGACGCACTCGGAAGTGTATTGGAGGTCGTTGTCCTTTTTGAGTACGCCAAAAAACTTGTGGCATCTGTTGGATGATCGCAAGATGAATCTTGACAGGGCAGCAATACGGCCAGTTAGTCTCTGAACCTGTTTTTTGCTATTTAGTGTTCTGGTATCCCTTTTATTGCTTTGATTTGGTCGGGGTTGACCTCGATACCTAGTTGTGATACTAGGAAGCCTGAGAATTTTCTTGAGGTCACGCTGAATGCGCACTTGTCAGGATTTAGCTTCATTCTGTATCGCCTGATTATATTGAAGGCTTCTTTCAGGTGGTCAATGTGATCTTCTTTCTTTTTGGATTTGACCAACATATCGTCTATGTAGACTTCCATGGTCTTGCCGAGTTGATCCTTGAATATTTTGGTGACCAACCGTTGGTATGTCACCCCTGCATTTTTCAGTCCGAAAGGCATAACTCTGTAGCAGTACGTTCCCTGGTAGGTGATGAAGGTAGTCTTCTCTTGGTCTTCCTCTTCCATAAGGATCTAATTTAAACCCGAGTAAGCATATAAGAAGCTCAGCAGTTCATACCCGGCCGTCGCATCAATGAGCTGGTCGATATGTGGTAGCGGGAATGAATCATTGGGGCATGCTTTGTTCCAGTCTGTAAAGCCTGCGCACATCCGCCATGTTCCGTTCTTCTTTTTCACCATGACCTCATTGGCCACCCATTGAGGGTATTTTGATTCCCTGATAGAAACGTTCTGGAATAATTTTTTAACCTCCTCGCGGACTGCATCGTTTATTGTAGAATTGAACTTCCGCCTAACCTGTCTCACAGGGGGTGGAGAGGGTCGACGTTCAATTTGTATAGCAATCTTTTTTGGGATACCTGGCATATCTACATGGGAAAAAGCGAACAAGTTTGTGTTAGCGGTTAGGAATTGACGGAATTTACCTGGTTCTTGGAGCTTGCAAGCGATGTAGGCTTTCTTGTTATGGTCGTTGTCATCAAGTTGGACGGGATCGAGGTCTTCTATGGTTGATCCCGCGGTCTCTGCCTTTTTGGGATCTTTGATGACGTCTTCCCTTTAATCACAGCTTGACCTTAACCCTGTTAATTGCTATGCTAATTTTGTTTTGCCATTTATTTGTTGTATAGTTGTACAATCTAGGGTGATGCGGTAGCATTCTGGAGATGTGCGTTGGTCCCCTCGTATGCTAAATATTCCCCTCAGGATTGGAAATTTTATAATTTGGTATAAGCTAGAGGGGATGGACCTCATGACGTGTATCCAGGGTCGTCCTATTATGGCATTGTTTATCGTGTCCTGATCCATGATGTGGAACGTGGTTTCGAGGGTGACTCCGCCGGCCATGACGGGGAGTGTGATTTCTCCAGATGTTCATTCAACTGCATTGTTAAAACCTGTTAGCGTGATGCAGCGTGGCACTACCTTATCCTCGAGTTTCATCTGTGCAAGTACTCGAAGGTCAATAATACATGCACCGCTCCCATCATCCACCATAATGTGTCTTACATCTGTATCCAATAATCGTAATATGATAACGAGGGCATCATAGTGAGGGAAAACCAAATTGTGGGTATTGTTGCTCCCAAACACAAACGCAAGTATACGTGGTAGACAAGTAATATAGGATTGTAAGTCCAGATATCGTACCCATAAGGACTTGTAATTAATTATAAACTAAATTAAACTAAAACAATTAATCTATTCAAGCACTTTTCTAAATATCATTAACTACAACTAATCTAGAGTAGCAAACTAAGAGATTAAAGGAAACAAGTTGGCGAATATTAGAGACGAATTCAATGAGAGAGAATATTCTAGAGCTATGGGTTAGCTAACAATCCCGTTGAGTTTTTTACCTAAATTATCTAATTAATTTATCTAGTTTATTGATTGACGGGGTTAATGTTTCTCATAGCCTTCTCCTGAAGTACAACTCGCCTATTTAAGCTAACATAACGCCTATAGTCCTATGGAATTAGGATTAACAAGAACGCATTTATAATTTTCGTATAATAACCAAGCAAGGCGACTAGGTATATTCCTATCTTAACTTCAAATCAGTTCCCGATACTCAAGTTCAAGATCTTGCTCTACTCCATCTTATATTCAATCTAGAATTCCCTCTCCCGAGTTCAATCCTAAATTCGTAGATAGTATTCAATCAAGCAAAAAAATAATTAAGCGCAAGATTGAATGAATAAACCAATATGATAAAATAATAAGAACAATTCAAGATTCAAACTACAACGTTCATGTACCACCCCACAACTCTAGAACTAATAAACTATGAGATTAAAGGAAGAGAAGAGAAGAAAAACTAGTTAGAAGCTTCTTCCAAGCGTGGTGTGTGTTTCTCCACGTGAATTCTCCTTAAAAGTATGTTAGATCTACTCCAAATTAGGTTTAGACTTGCTTTTATACGAGTTCGGGGGGGGGGGGTCTTGGGCCGAAATAACCTTGTCCCGAAAAAACATGGATAAAATCTCATCACCAGCGTCCAAGGCAGCGTGGGGCGCTGGTTATTCACCTTTTTGCCTAGGTCGCCACAAGTGCCGTGGGGCGCTGCCTGTGGCTCCGAAAATAGAAGTTCCTTTTTTTCCATCCCTTTTGGCTCTAATCTTGCACCTTTCGCCCCCAAATGCTTCCGGATGATAACCAAGCAAGGCGACTAGGTATATTCCTATCTTAACCGCAAATCCTTTCCCGATACTCGAGTTCAAGATCTTGCTCTACTCAATCTTATATGCAATCTAGAATTCCCTCTCCCGAGTTCAATCCTAGATTCGTAAATAGTATTCAATTGTAGATCAAGCAATCAAATAATTAAGTGCAAGATTGAATAAATAAACCAATATGATAAAATAATAAGAACAATTCAAGCTTCAAACTACAACGTTCATGTAGCACCCCACAACTCTAGAACTAATAAACTATGAGATTAAAGGAAGAGAAGAGAAGAAAAACTAGTAAGAAGCCTCTTCCAAGCGTGGTGTGTGTTCCTCCACATGAATTCTCCTTCAAAGTATGTTATATCTCCTCCAAATTAGGGGGGGTCTTGGGCCGAAATAACCTTGTCCTGGGTTGGATAAAATCCTGTCACCAGCATCCAGGGCAGCGTAGGGCACTAGCCCTGGTGCTGGTTATTTCTCCTTTCTGCCTGGGGCACTACAGGTGGCATAGGGCGCTGCCTATGGCGCCAAAAGCAAAATTTTCTTTTTTTTCATCCGTTTTGGCTCTAATCTTGCACCTTTCTCCCAATTGCTTCTGGATGGTTCCTACATATAAAAATACCACGAATAAGCATAAATCAATACATTTCACATCCGAAATCCACAAAACACGAGTAAAACATAAGGCGATATAAATATATATAGTTTAAGCTAAATATCAGGTATCTGACTTATCGAAGATGATACTTTCTTCGAGTCTGTCATACCATTCATGAGTGATCGACAACTTGAGTTTGTGGGTTGTGGTGAATTTTATGTTGTTGATTGATGAGTCGTCACCGCCTCCAATAATCATTTGAATGGTGCTAGTTGGTGACGGTGGTTTCGGCGGTCCCTGGTGTTGTTCACGTACTCGGGCGAAGTTAGTCCTCCCTCGGTCGCTGAGCAATTCTTTGAGGTGTCCTTGGTGAAGCATGTTTACGACCTCCTGCCTTAGAGCTATATAATCCTCAGTTTTGTGACCTCGCTCTTGGTGGAACTCTCAGAGGACCTTTGACTTTCTAGTGCTTGGGTCTGACCTCATCTTTTGTGGCCACTTCACTTTTGGTCTGAGCTTCTCCAGTGCGTAGACTATTTTTTAGGGCGATACAGAAAAATTATGAGCGGATAATAAAGGAGGCATACCTCTCTTGTTCCGGTGAGTCCCTGTCCTTTGCCTAGATAGGCCCTCTTCGTGGTGGGAGAGGGGAATCATAGTGCTTCTGATATATGGCTGATGTCTTTCTCGGTTGGGTCGAGGAGCTGCGAGGTCTTTCCTGGCATCGTTTCTTCGGTCCTTCCTAGATTCAGCTTGTACCAAGGTCAACCGATATGTTGGCCTATTCAGGTCGTCTTCGTCAGCACGGACCTTGGCACAATAGACGTTGTGTATTTTATCCCAAGTGGTCGGAGGATTTTTCATAAGTCGGCTTAATAATTTTCTGGCCGCCCTCGAACCGCCTGTTTAGCTAGTTTTGGAAAGATGCTACAGCCATGCCTTCTGATACATTAAGTAGGGTCATCCCTACTCAATTGAAGCGAGCGTGGAAGTCCCTTAATCCCTCTCCGGGCAATTGTTTGATGGCAAATATATCGTTCACTCTTGCCTCCGCCTTTGTTGCCCCAACATGGGCCGTTACAAACTTATCGGCCATCTCTTCGAATGTCTCGATGGAGCGTGCGGGCAGTTGCGAGTATCAAGTTAATGCTCCTCTGGTGAGGGTTTCGCCGAACTTTTTCAATAAGATGGAGGATTCCTGTTCTTTGGTGAGATCATTACCCTTTACCGTGGTGACATAGTGAGTGACATGATCCACGGGGTCGGTCGTACCGTC